GGGTTCCAGTTTCTCCACAACCTCGCCAGTATGTGTTGCTTGCTGTTCTGTTAAATTTTTCTATTCTGACTGGGGTGAGATGATATCGCATAGTTGTTTTGTTTTGTTCTCAAGTTATATTTGCAGGTGGGATTTGATGCAGTTATACTCCAGCACTCAGACAGAATACATGGGAACATGCTATCCCCTGGTCCCTCTGTACTTCTACCTCTCATGTGTTTTTTTCTAGGGCATCTCCTGGCTCTGTACATGGTCCTAGAACATAGTACACAGGTCTTAATCTTCATCCTGCACAAGTCCCTTCTGCATTACCTGCAGCCAACTCTCCCTTAAAGTTGTGTTTCACTCTGTGGTCATATACCCATTACCTTTGGTTGCTTTCCCCAGCCATCCCAACATCTCTGCTCCTCCTCTACAAACTCACGTGCTTTCTTCTCTGCTTCTCCTCCGTGTTCCTACCTGGATGAAAAATTCCTGGAAAGAAGCAACACACAGACATGGATCTGGTTTGGTGGGCTGGTCAGAATGCTAATTTCGAAAAATGCTGGGTTTTATTCAGCTGTAACTCATCTTCTGTTTCTTTAACAGCTGCTGCTTTCACTTTAGTCAGGTAATCACTGTAGTACAGTTGGCCCTAGGGACCAGGACGGTAGACTATACCCTGAATTGACAGGATGGGGCCATGTTTTAACATCAGGCTTATGGTAAACTTCCGGTACTCACATCCTGGCTCTCAGCACAGACACATGCGTTCCTTCCCACATGGTTTCCCACTTGTTCAGTGAAATAGGAAGGAGACTGAAGGTATTTCAAGTAGAAAACCAAAAACCAAGCCCATTGCCATCGAGTTGATTCCTGCCCAGCTAGCCTATCCCATAGGGTTTCCAAGGCTGTCATCTTAGGAAGTGGACTTCCACATCCTTCTCTCATTAGTGGCTGATGGGTTTGAACTGCCAACTTTTCAGTTAGCAGAGCACTTAACCACTGCACTATCACTGTTTCTCACAAATAGCAGAAAAAGGCATTATCCCAGGTTACCATTTTTGCTGGCTGCCCAAAGTGTTACAGCCCTACCCTAAAAACAGTTCTCAATTGCTATCAGAGTCAGTAATTAAAGCAGCAGAATGCTCTTTGTAACATTATTTAAGGGAAGAAAAATTGAGAATAAATATCAAGCACCATGTTGGGCATTTTACATGTTATTAGTAAATTCTAAAAACAGCTTCGGGGCGCTGGCTGAAAATCGCCTGTGACTTCATCCATAGCCACTGGTGAGAGTCAGCGCCCAGAGCCATCAGGGGCTTTAAGCTCGTTGCCCACTGCTGT